TGAAATTGAATTGAATTTATCCAGATTAGGTTTTGATCAAACAAGGTTAAATAGGACTTTATTTAAAATTGAAAAACATCCAACAGTTTTTTGTTTTCAAGCAGAGACAGTAAAACATGGTTTGTTCTGTTTTAAATATTCTGTTGAAAGAAAGGAATAAGTTTTAAATTACAAGAAAAAAAATTGCAGGTAAATATACAAGATATTTTGGTCAAACCTTCTACTTCTAAATGTTATTTAATAAATTACCTTAAGGAAACAAAGGATAGAAAAGATACAAGATTTATTAATTTATTCATTATAATTTTTTGGTGTGTGGGAGAACTTCTATAAAGCATCCTGATCCACTCCATTCCAGTAGATGGCGCTAATGCGCATCAATAGGTCGCTTGGTCTTTAGGAAAGCAGAATATAGATCAGATTCCACCTGGGAAAGTTAAATCAATAATGAAAAAGAAAGAAACTAAATTATGGCAAAAAATATGAGATGAAGATGAGAAAGAATAAGATTATATAGGGTTACAATGTTTAATTGTTAAAAATAATGGAGAAGGAAACAGAAGGGAAGAGATAATTTATACTAGATTAAGAACTGATCACATCTACTGGAATGAGTCTTTGTTTATATGAGGGAAGAGAAATAGTGATTAATGAGAGGAAATGGAAGGAAAGAAAATCAGGATCATGTTTTAAAGGATTGATTTAAATATGGACTGAAAGACAGGATGAGGAAAGTAATTATGGAAAAAGGGAGAGAAAGGAAAATTAAAGGAATTATAGGGACAGATGGAGATAGGGAGGAACATTTGGTTATTAATAAAGCATTGTTTTTATTTTTATATAACACAAAAATAAAATAGTAGGTGGAACTATGGAGCTACACACTCATGTACAGCAGGTGGCGCTATGCACCTAGAAGCTGTTTGCAATCAACCGACCTAACAAAGAAGATCCGCCACCTACAGCGGAACCTTTGTCACGGCTTCATTGCTGGCGGAAGACTAACGCTGCTGCACCCGCTCTGCAGCCTGTTCCGGTGCGGCTGACGGTGACCGTGGAGCAGGATGGGTTCGGTTCGGACGCTCGGCAGGAGGTTCTGGGCTCCGGGAGGCCGCTGGGAGAGACTGAAGAACAGCAGAGCGGGTCAGAACCGGAACCATGATGGATTATTCATGATTCTGCCGAACCGAACCTTAGACCAGGGTTAGAGAGATTAAACCTTAGACCAGGGTTAGAGA